TCGAGGGGGCTCTCTCGGTCTATCGGCGAGGATTAAAGAACTGCATAAAAATAGTAAATTATTATAGTATTTATAATATGAAATTGGATATAAAGTAGTGAAATCATTAAAAGAAAAATCTATAAATACAGTTACATGAAATTCGACTGCTAAAAAGATTAAATGGAATTAAACTATACAGGAGGGGAGGGTTTTAACTGTATTTATACAATGTTATACACAGGAACGCACATCACGTTAGACACAGAACGCGCATCGCGTATGAAACAAAATGGCTTCTAAATTCTCAATGTCGCAACTCTTTCTATCTATGGCTCTGAAGAAATCGAGTATGGGGCGCCAATTAAATTAGGTATGGCGCACACTAAGTGCAATAAAGAGTGAGTAACCTAAAATTAGGGCCTGGAACCCAGGTTAGGTCTATGGGAGTCTAGAAGCAAATCCTCAGATTCTGTAACCTTTTGATATTTAAATGATTATAGAGTTGTCAAAAATGTATGATGTTTTTAAGAACTCTTTCTACTTATTTTTTTAAATAGTTTACCCAGTATCATCAAATGTCAGGCGTAAATGGGGCTCCAGGAACAAAGTTTTCAGAAAATTGCCTTATATATGTTTAGATGCCTAATTTACATTATTATTTGTTGACATTATTTTATCACTCTTTATGTATTTTTTCACCACAGTAGTTTGTACAATGCATTTGTCCTACCCGTCACTCCCACTTGTCTTGTTGCTATCCTCATTTCCAATTGAGATTGTGCGTTTTTGAACAACAATTGTTTTTGACTTGGCCAAACTATAGTTATTGCTAAACCCAACACAATGAATATTTTATACATTTATTTTTAATTTTTAAAAAAGCATTGGATGTTAATTGAGTGGACTATTTTCATAAACAACTTAGAAAATATCTATGCTTCACTTTGTAATAATAACCTAAACGTATATTGTGCATTTCCTATTCCAAGTTCAGTGCACTATACCAAAGTTAAAATGGATAAATCAAATTAAAATACAGTTTAATAGGTGTGCATCAGTTAGGCATACTTTTTAAGTTTAGTGCTTTAATGATTTGGCCTTGTATTGAAGCTACACCATTACAAGCATGCTAAATCAATCATTTACGAGATGAAAATCCGGGAATTGGTGTTTTCTACTGGACCGTAATATCAAAGCTTTCTTGTATTAGCAAGAGGGCGCTTTTGGACTGGGGGGGGCCTGGGGCTTGGCTTTAAGAGCCTGCATTATGCCAATGCTAAGGTAGCAAAACTGTAATAGAGTAACCATATCAACAAGGTGGAATACCAGGGCGTAGGGGCCTACCGTACAAAAAGTGAATTTATTTGTATCCAGGTCTGTTAGTTCCACATGAGAAGTTGGTAACATAATACTTTTTTTTTATTTCAAATTTATTCCCAATGGCTTTAAATGTAAGTCAAGTAAATGTTATTATTGTTACAGAGAAGGATTTTCACTAATGGTTTCCGTTATTGATTCAATTCTTAAAAACTTTATTGTTGGTTAACAACCGTAACCATAACCCAAAATAGGCGATCAAAGGCAATGATTCTATTGTCCAATAGGCTCAGATACATTTGCTAGTTGTAGGATCCATGGTAGGACTATGATATCTCATACTAAATTGTCAATAAACATTGCCCAAAGAGGGTGCCAATTCCACCAACGGGGAGGAGGACGATGTCCCTATATAAAGAGAAAAGTGACCGTGGTCAGGCATGTTGCTCAGAATCTCTCAAAATTGTTCCAGGGGAGGGGATGAATCCCTGAAAAATATGCCAATTTAGGCCTTCATATGATTATTTAATTGATGTAAGTGTCTACTAATATTGTAGAAAATGTACATATACATTTTTTCCCCCCAATGAATTGTGGTGTTTCTCCTAATTGGGGTTTGGGGGGAGGGTTTAGCTCTTCAAGATGGAGGTCATGGAGGGCTTTCATATGTTCATTTAATTGATTTAGTGCCTACTAATATGAAGAAAGTATACATACACATTTCTCCACGATAGAAGTTGGGGCCACTTCAGATTTTACCATACCATATCTATTATTAATGATTGGTTGACTAACATAAATGAGAACAAGGCGTCATGCATCATTGCATCATTGGATGCTTAGCCCTGGATGTTTACATTTTCAGAAAAGGGAGGTTTCAAACTAGTGCGTAGGCCTAATCATCATTTAATATACTTATACTGTATTTATGTAATTGTTCATTGGCCATTAATTCATAAAATATCTTTCAATGAAAAATTACTGTGTTATTGTATGAAATCATTTTTAACTCTTTACGTCATTATATAGGCCTGATGTTAAATGGAGAACTAACAAAAAAGTTACACCACCTACAGTATATTTAGGCTTGCATTAGCCTTTTCGTCGCATATCAACAATTGTTAATCATCATTTAATCAAGCACAGTAATAAGGTAGGTTTTAACAAACATTTACTCAAAATACCTTTAAATATAGGTAAAATAAATGTTATTATTACAGAGAAGGGTTTGTATTGTTCTTTGAAATGCCGTAATAACTTCACTGTTGGTAACACAACCATAAACAACAAAAGTTGAATAGCTGAAGAGACATAACTGAGGTGTTGTCATAAGGCCTATTCCCCGATTTACAGTAGTGAATAAGTTTTTGTATTTAAAAGTGATGGTTCTGTTCAAGGTAGATTAAATTGCTGTACTGTACATGGGTTGCATTACAATAAGTCATTTTTCAATAGCTATGTGTACAAAGTGACAAGTTATAATTTTTTTTTGAAAATATATGCCTATATTCTTAGAATCATATCCATCGTAATTAAATATTCACAAGTTAAGTCTCCTGTATATCACCAAAAGTAGCACAGTTTCTTGCATTTTTGTGAGCAAGCAGATTTCTCCCCAACCCATCTGAAACATATTTTATATAATTTTTCATTTATTGATATAAAAACTATCTGAATTTACAATCCAAATGTGAGAAAAATACAAGAAATCAAATAATCCCACAATCTGTCAGTTAGCTGACCATGGGAAAAAACAATGACCAGATGATAAAAAAGATGTTAGACCAGTTGCCACCTGGCCTGTTGCCACCTGTCAGTCATTTGCCACTTGACCTTTTGCCACACAGCTTGTTGCCACCTAGCCTGTTGCCACCTTAGGCCTGTTGCCAGCCATAATGGCTGTCTCTTATACACATCTCAATGGTGTCCGAAATTGGCCTATCTGCCACTCCTATGCCTAGAGAAATTATAAACAGAACTACTGACAACTTCATGCTGGTATCTCACTGCAGTCAGTGTTGTAAATTATTTGGACTTTAGAATCTACATTGATCATTATTTATCAGTAAATCACATGACAACTGTATACTGTTAATAATAGTCAATATAGGTCAATAAAACTTAGGACCATGGTGTTCGGTTGATCCCCTGGTTGGTCTATGGTAGACTTGCCACAAGTCTCTTATTTTTTATTATTTTTCTCATTCTGGACAGCGCCACCAACGAGAAAGTTAATTTAGAGACGTAATAAGCGACTTGTAAAACAATGAAATCAGGCACCAGGATGCCAAAAGAATGACGTAATCTTATATTCCGTATTTGGATAAATGGGCGGACCGAAATAAACAATTTCAACTAATCAAATGTTCATATTTTTGGAGCCACGAAACTGAGTCACTCGCGTCGACTAGTTAGGCATGACTAAATTTAAATAGTCCTCCCTAATAAAACGGGCCTAAAATATTTAGAATAGACCCTAGTAAGACTAAT